ATCTACAATAAGTGCCTTTACTCTGCTCCCAAAGTCCTCACTTTTATTCATAAAGATATGGAGGAGCTAATTCATGGTCATGAATTTATACTGCAATAGAAATAAATGACTGATGCTATAATATATTCAGCCAAGGATTAGAGCCTTCAAAAGCCCATGTATCGGAAAACAAAACAATACAAGCGTGTCTTAAAGAACAAAGCTTAATCGGACTCATTATTTTGCTTGAAGGTAGAATTCATAATCCTGATATTAATAATTTGCAATGTTAAGCAGCATTTGGAACATATATCTGTATGCTTTGTTTCCGAGTTGTCAGGTATAAATTTGAGAGTCCTGAATAGTAGATTCAAGCTTTCTTTACTGCAGCAGGGAGAGTTTATATTGAGACTTGAACACACTGCTCTTGAGCCTGGAAGGTATTACGAGCATGGTTACACAACCTACCATTAATGGGTAGGGGCAGATATCTGGAATTTCCCCCAGATAAACCTATGATGATTACATCACCATCTACTTGTCTCTGTATTTAAACTTCATTTCCCTTCATGTTTTGAGAAACATTTTAGTGAGTGTTTCAGATTTGATAAGAAGAATTAAAATAAGAACCATTTTGGTTTGTCTTGACATCAAGAGACTGTAGCAGATACATCATATTAGGGGTCCCTGGGATTTTTCTCATTAGATTGGAAATCAGACATAACAACTGTATAAGTATAGATGAGTATGAGTTGGGTTCCCTGCCCCACCCAGCAGTCCAGCTTTTTGTAGCTCCATGGAACTAATTGCCAAGCAGGAAAACTTGCCATCAAATGTCCTTGGAAACATGATAAATATATAAACAAACAAGTAAAAAAAAAACAAACTAAAACAAAGAAACAAACAAATGAAACAAAACAATGAAAAACCAAAAGATAAAACCCAAAAATTCTTGAAGAACTTAGTTCATTATGAACAAAGTAACCAAAAAGTAAATCCAAACTGTGTATCAGGTTGGCTCAGAACTCCAGGTGATGGTCATGTTACCTCAGTTGACTATTCTTCACACTGTATGAATATATGTCATTTGTGATTAGTTTAATAAAGAAGCTGACTGGCCAATAGCTGGGCAGGACAAGGTTAGGTGGAAGAGTCAAACTGAGAATCCTGGTGATACAAAGGGTGGAGTCAGGAGTGGTGAGCAGACACAGAGAAAAGCAATATGGGCATGCTAAATTGAGAAAAGGTGCCAAACCACATGGCAAAGCATGGATAAGAAATATGGGTTAATTGAAAAAGTAAGAGTTAGCTAGTAACAAGGCTGAGCTATTGGCCAAGTGTTTGAAATTAATATAAGCCTCAGTGGGTTTATTTGGGAGCTGCTGGAACAGAAACTTCTGCCAACACACCTGTTTCCCAGGATCACTACTCTTTTTCTCATTTCCTAATTTTGAAGGAGGAGCCTTTAGCAATTCCCTTTTATAGTGAGTCCAAACCTGAGACCTTAGTTCAGAATCAGTTCAGTACCTGATTCTACCTTGACCTCGCAGACTTGGTACCTTAGGCAAGCCACTTGCACAATTCTGTGTCCTCATGCCTTTCGAGGGTGGAGCACCACGGGCAGGACTGAAAGAAAACCCAAATAACACTGCTTTCACTTAGCCCTGGTAGGACTGGTTGAAAGATCTGAGCAACACTGGTTACACTCAGTGCTCTGCTTAGCGAAGGTGAATGTTTAAAGAAAGCTGGGAAGTTTGTTTAGAGGGACTGGGGAGACATCTGGGTCAAGACAGTGCTTGCCTTGCAAGCATAAGGACTTCAGTTTGAAATACACACTTCACAAGTTAAAACAAAACAAAAAAAGCACTAGGCAGGATGGCACACACTTGTAACTCCTGTGCTGGTGAGGCAGAGACAGGATCTGGGGGACTCCCCGGCCAGCCTGTCCAGTCTATTTGGTAAATCCAAGGTTAGTGGATACCCTGTCTCAAAGAGAAGCTGGATGGTGCCTGGTGATTAATAGTCCCGGTTGTCCTCTGACATATACACCATGCACCACACACACACACACACACACACACACACACACACACACACACAAGCGTTCCTGCATATACATACAAAAGTAGTTTTGAAAATCTGTTCTAACTCACTAATTGGATAAATGCATAAATGTAGACAAATGATCCATCTTAATAAAAATAATAGAATAATTTAACCAAACCTGGCAGTTAAGCCAAAGGATCAAGCCAATTATGAAGGTTGTTTTAAGAATTAAAGGAAGGAGTGCAGAAAGAACTCTCTGACTGTCCTTGCAGGTGCCTGGAGTTGAATTCCCAGCACCAGATTGGGTTGGGGATCACAACTGCCTATATATAACTCCAGCTCCAGGGATTCCATGCTCAGCCATGCATGTGCACATACCACACTCACACACTCACACACACACACACACACACACACACACACACACACACACACATTTAAAGCACACATGTATATGTATACATATATCTATCTGTACATTTCTATCTACAAAGAGAGTTAAAAGAAATCATAAGTAATGTCAAGCTACCAGCACACAGTGAAAACCAGCCATGCCTCTATCTTTGCTCAGGAAAATCACCAATGCTCCAGGGAGCAGTTCCCCTGCAGACTAGGATGGGCGTCCCTAGTACATTCCCTGTTGCTGGAGGCTTGCCATAGACAGAAGGATCTGTTCAGTGAGGTCCATGTTTATGGTGTAAATTTTTAAAAGAGGAATTTGGAAATGTTCCCAGATGCTGCATCTGCCCCTGGCCCTTGCACCTCAGAGGATGAGGCCAGTGAGGGAGACAGCAAGGATGGCTGAATTTATTAGGAATGGATGGGCCACTCTATTTTTCAGCACAGCAACAGTAGGCGATCCCATAGGAAACCTGCCTGTTGGCTGGCCTGTCAGATGCGCTCACAGCAGCCAGCCCCAACCAAATAGGGACAGAATGCTGTTCCTGAAAGCCATGCATACCAAGCCTAGTGTTCAACTGCAGAGACAGCTTCTATTTCCTTTTGAGAAAGAGTCTACCAGCTGCGACTTCCTCTTCACCACCTCCAATGACTTTCTCTTGTTTCTCCGTCATAAAAGGCATTAACCAGAAATTCGGCAAGGCGGGGAACTTGAATTCAATTTTTAATTATGATGATTTTGATGTGTGGGGAGGATAGTTAAGCACACATTAATCTCAATATATCTCAGGTATCAGGTAATCATGATTTACGACAAGCATACACCAGCAGCCAGTCTCACCCACAAGCCAACTGTTTATTCTTTGAGGTGAAATCAAACCAGTGTCATTGGATTTTCTAGCTCAAATTCCATTTCATTGTCTTTATATACTAATACTTTTAAAATATGGTATTTTACCAAAATTTTCTCATAGATAAAACAAATATCTGAGTTTATGTAATAATATAATCCTTATACTTTGTATATTTATCTTATGTGTGTGTATGTGTATGTGTGTGTGTTTGTGTGTATGTGTTTGTGTGTGTGTGGTTTATGTGTGTGGGTATAGGCACTCATGACGTGATAAGCATGCGGATGTCATAGGAGAACTTTTGGAATGGGTCCTAGTCAGTCACCCACCTTGTTAGCGGAAGGGCCTCCATGTTGTTAATAGGTACACAGGCCAGGCCTGCTGGCCTAAGGCTTCTGGGTATTCTCTGGTCTCCAACTTCCATCATGCTATAGGAGCTGTGGTCTTAGAGTCACACATTACAAACTCTTGCTTTATCTTGAGTTCTAGGGATCTGAGCTCAAGTCCTCAAGTTTCATGGCAAATGTGTTACTCACGAGCCATTCTTTAAACCTCTTGGTATTTTTTAAAACAGAAATATAATGTCTGGGCATAAATCCTCTATCGTGATATTTATGTTTTAATAAATAAAGCTTGTCTGAAGATCAGAGGGTAAAACTAAGCCACTAGAGGGCAGGCAGTGGTGTCACACACCTTTAATCCCAGGATTTGGGAAACAGAGGCAGATGGATCTCTGTGAGTTCAAGGCTACCCGGGGCTATACAAGATCACTGCAGAAACAGATCCAGGTGATGAGAGCTCACAACTTTAGTCCCAGTATTATGGAGTCACACACCTTTAATCCCAGCACAAAAGGGGAGTATAGATGGGGATGAGACAGAGGCTCAGGGCTGTCTGCAGTCGCCCAGCCTTGGTAGAGTAAGATTTCTCTAGTGGCTTGCATGGTTTGCTTTCTGACCTTCAACTTGAACCCCAATATCTGTCTCTTGGTTTTTATTAATTGTGCTACAATCCTCCAGTTAAATATTTTCTTATCCAAGAGTTGTTTTGGTCATGGTGTCTCTTCACAGTGCTAGAACAGCGCACGAACTTACTCTTCACGTCTGCATTATTCACATTGATTTTCATGTTTCCAAATATTGCCTTCGCTGTTGTTTACATCAAGTCTGTCAACATTTTTAAACTTTGTGCCTGTGACGGGGAAAAACCTTCCAGGCTTCACCACAGTGCCCACCCGGCGAAGGTGGGTTTCCTGAGACTTGTCTCCCCCAATGCTTCCATTTGGGACTCATCTACAGACGTGGAAATAAAGTAACCCTCAGATAGCTGACGTCACTCTCTCCCCACTAAGGGTAAATGTTCCTTCTGAGTCTTTCCATGAGATTTGGTGCCCGTGTGTTCTCAGTGGTCACGAGGCATTTCCGAAACCCTTTCCTGAACAGGATGCAGCACCCTCTAACGCGTAACGATGGAGGCCGCTCCAGGACATGCTTTGATCCAATGAGCTCTCCCTTCTTTTCTTTCCTTTCTTGCCTCCTATCCGCCCCCTAACACAATCCTAAAGGGATGGACGTGTTGACACAATCAGGCTACCATAATAAAAATGGCTGAGTTCATTTTTCTATAAATAGACCCTATAAAAATTTTATTGTAAAGAGATATCAAAATAATAGACAACACCTTGGGGCGTAGCACTTCTCAAATAAAAGTGTCAAATACTCTTACCTATAAAATCTGGGTGAGCCATTCTGGGAAATCTGCAGTAACCATCTCCCAGGAAGCAGGTTCCCTCTGTCACCGTAGCCATGGGAACTGGGAGAGAGGGATCCCTCCTTTCTAGGGAGCATACATGAGGCAGACCATTGACTTCTGCAGGAGGAAGTCACCAGAGATGGACTGTGGTGCTGGTGATGCCTGTCCCCATAAGAGACCTCAGCTGAGCAGGAGCTGATGGCACAGAAGGACACAAAAGGACACTGAATGAAATAGGGAGACATACCCTTGCGTACATCACACTTAAAGTCAAACCAATTGCTGTCATAGGGGCCTACATAGTTCTATGAATGGAAGAGAGAAAACAGTTGAGTTCAAAGATGACTAAACAAAATTTAAATGACTAACCAATTCCTAACAGAACATACACCACACATGGAGGAAGATTATTTCTTGGAAATAATTTCTTTTTCTTTTCTTTTCTTCTTTTTTTTTTACTGAAATAACAAATATTGTAGCCACTATAGGTCCCCTGAGCCCTTGTTTATATGCCTGTTGACTTCTAAGACTCCTTCGCTGACTCCTTCTCTGGATATCTCTGACCCCTCTGAACTGTACCCAGCCTATGACCCGCACTGCGAACAGTTGCACAGCCTCCTGTCCTGTCCTGCACTGAGCTAGTACTGAACTGATGGCAGAAACAGTGGATATGGGCAAGGGGAATGAGAGGGAGGGGTGGCCCTGCCAGAACAGGATATGGGCGACTTGATCCCAGTATGTCCTCCCAAAATAATTACTAATATAGGATTAACGACTTTAGAGGGATCAGGTTTACTTCATCTTATTATTTTTATTCTTACCATATTGGAGTTTGAATCTAGACAGCCTCACGCTCTGCCTCTCAGCTAAATGCCCCATCTATAAAGCATAGACAAGTGGTTTTAAATTTTTCACCATTTATTTATTGTATGGTATGTGTATATGTACACATTTGCCCATGAGCTTATTATCATGACATGAATACAGAAGGAAGCCAGAGGGCAACTTGAGTGAATCATTTCTCTTCTTTTAATATATGGGCCTGAGGACTGAACTCAGGGTGCAAAGCTTATGCCAAGTTGAGTTTACCCACTAATCAGATTTTATTCACAGTCAAATTTAGAGGAAGGCATGGACTTTACCCACATACCTCATGTCATGCCCTACACAAACATGGCCATTTCCCTCATGTCTGCTTCTCAAGAGTGGTTGTCAGAATAGATGAGCCTGTTCTAAGGTGTCCCATCATCCAAAGTCCAGTGTTGTCCATGGGGTTCACTGCTGCATAGGCTGTGGCTTTGGGAAAATGTATATTAACACATACCTATCATTATACTTTCAATAACATATATGTGCGTGTGTGTGCGTGTGCGTGTATATGTGTTGAGACAGGGTTTTTCTATGTAGTCCAGGCTGACCTTGAAACTGACCTCTACCACAGGCCACTAAGTCCCGGGAAGCACCATGGCCAGCAACATGCAGGGTATTTTCACTTTGGTCAGAAGTCTCTGTTGGCCATTTATCTGCACCCTCAACTCCTTACAAGTACTGTTCTCTTTATAATCACCATAGCTTTTTGCCTTCCCTACAGTATTTGATCAATAAAGTGTACATTAATTTCAGGTTGCTTTCTTCTCCTTAGTAACATTAAAATTTCATCCATTGTGTTTCAGCTTCAGCACTATGTAATATTCCATTCTCTGTATGTATATTTTTGTTTTTCCATCCATCTGCTGAAGCATGTCATGATCAACTGCTTTTTTCCAGTTAACAATAATATTAATACAAGTGTGCATGCATGCAGGGGTTACTGTATTATTGTCATTTCTCCACTCCACAGGGAAATTCCAAGGGGCCAGAAGCAATGGACCATATGCTAATCACATGTTAGTCTCTTCCAAACTGTTGTCCCATTATGTATCCGTGCCACCAATGCAGGGCAGGTCTTGGATATTTTAATGCATGTGAAATGGTATCAATGTATATTTCCTGCCTGGGATACAGTGGGGACCATCTTTGTGTCCTTAACCACTCTCCCTCTGTATCCTGTTGTAAGACAGTCATTTTTGTATGCAATTTCCTGATTTTTATCCTAGGCTTAGAACTGACAGAAATGAAGGCAAACAGGTAAGCAAACTCCACCCTGAAGGCCAATCAGAATATCCCATGTACAGTACCTGATCAACAAGAGTTCCAGTACATTGGGTCCTAGGTCTCACAGTAGCTGGAATCACAGCTAGGCCTAAGGTGACCATGCCACCACCTTGGCCTCAGACATGTCTCAGTAATTGCTCAGTGACCACTGCTGAGGGATAGGATCTGGGACACTCAGATCCTGGATAGTGACACCTCCTGGGAGTTGCTAAGAGATTCTACTAGTAAAACTTTCCATGTAACCCTATCAAAGGAAAATCTAAATAACTGCTGAGCTATTGAAAACAAAAGCTAATGTTCAAGTATGATGTCTTTTTGTTTGTCTGAGAGAAGGTTTTCTATGTCGCTCTTCCTGGCCTGGAGTTCACTATGTAGACCAAACTGGCCTGGAGCTCAGAGCATTCCTCCTGCCTCTGCCTCCCCTGAGCACTGGAATTGAAGGAATGCACCATCAGTGATGGATAACCTGTTATAAGGAGGCCACTTGTTTCCTGGCTGCCCAGACTCCCAAAATAATCCCACAGAAACCATATCATTTGCAATTCTGTTTGGCCAATAGCTAACGTATGTTTCTGGCTAACTCTTATATCTTAATTTAACCCATCTTCATTAATCTGTGCATCACCACAAGGCCGTGGCCTACCAGCAAAGTTTTGGCATGACTGTCTCCATCAGTGGCTCCATGGCTTCTCTCTGACTCCGCCTTCTCTCTCCCAGCATTCAGTTTTGTTTTCCCCACCTACCTCTATTCTACTCTATCACGGGCTCAAGACCATTTCTTTATTAACCAATGGTGTTCACAGCATACAGAGGGGAATCTCACATCAATGGCCTCAACTTCAATGATGTAACTTTGCTTTAAACAGTTATTAGCAGGCTAACATTCCTACTTTAAGCATGCAGGCTAAATTTGAGGGATGAAGGTTAAAAAAAAAATGAGCACAACTATAGTCAAGGCTTTGATCAACACCCAAACTATGTTTGTGGACTTTTAAGTTATACTTGCATTAAAACAACCTTGTACAGAAAAAAAATACTTTTCTGTTTTAAGAAATAAGATGTGGTATGAGTCCAAGAGCTGAAATCCTTGAAGCAAGGCAGAAAATTCACCTTAAGAGCATAGAAATAAATATTACTAGGTGCCCAGAGATGCTGGCCAACTTTCTAAAGAGAAGCAGCCAAGCACAATTCTATTTTAACTTCAAGAAGGAGCAAAGAGTTCATTGACTTAAATAGAAAATTAACAACTGTATTCATCTTCTGCTGCAGAAATCTGTGTGATATTTTTATACATGTATGAATCTTATATGCATGGCTTCTTTTGGTACTCTCTGCCAAAATTTAGCTAAATTGGGTGTTCTCAGTTGTCATTCTGATAATCCAAAACAAAATAACAAAATAAACCACCCCGAACCTCCTGCACCCGCTCATGTTGGGAGCTAAGCCTCATTTGCATAATTTTCTGTGGCCACCATTGCTTTGTTACAGCTCAGGTGGGCAAGAAGGCTCTTCATGGGTTGAGTATTGAGCTCTTAAGTGCAAGGAAAAGAGAAATTAGCATGGTTTTCTTTATAATTTGACTTTGATGCATGCATGTGTTGCTCATGTGTGCATGTGTGTGTGCGTGTGTACATCAAAGGACAATCTCGGGTGTTATTCTCTCACTCCTTGAACACTGACAATTTCCTTGGAGGCAGAATGTTTCACAGTTCTGGGTTAGGGACAGATCCATTAGATTTGACTGGCTAGCCAGTCCACCCCAGGAATACTCCTGTCTCTGTCTCCCTGGTGCTGACATTACAAGTATATGCTTTAACACCCCACCTTTTCATGTGACTTCTGGGTACCAAAATCCTCTTCTCCCTTCATCAGCCTTCTTTACTTTACAGACAAGGAAAAGCTAGTTTGTGAGTCCTTCTGCTGTTACAGTTTCTGCATTCCACAGAGGGAGGAGTCTCCAGAATTGGGAGCACATGAATGTGACGTTTTTACTTTGAAAAATTCCATCTAGCCAACTCCCACTGATATTCAGAAGAACTCTCTCAAATGAGGATTATTTTTTTTTTGTCTCTATCCATTCCATTTAAACCAAAGACCTGAAGTTTGGATAATCTTTTACCTTTCAGCATTGGGAGAATGGTATCCTTTCCACAGCAACCTCTTTCCGAAGGCACATGCATTTGAGCCCCTTACAGTCCTGCCTGCCAAATGGGAGAAAAGGGTCAAATCATGGACCCTGACTTTCCACCTTGATAGTAAGAGCTGCAGCATTTCTTAATCAGAAACACAAACAACAACAATGACAACAAAAGTAAAAAGAATCGCATTGGCTCTGCAGTTACTTTTTCAATTCTTTCTAAAGGTGAGTGCTCCCTTTTGCTTTCAGTCTGGCAAACAGTTTACAGACAAGAAGGACACACTTATGTGGAGGGTTCACTCAAATCAGTGCCAGCTGTTCAAATGGTATCAAGTAAGACCTCAATTCACAGAAAATTGTTCCACCCAGCAGGTGGAATGTCTTGGTTAGTCTCCTCCTGAGCAGGAGTTGAACTAGGATTGATTGCCTATCCAGTGCTTAAAAAACCTAAGCTTCCAGCTGCTATGTTGTAGCTTCACACAGAAGAGTCAACCATGGCTTCTAGCAGGGTGAATATCCTACTGAGTCATTCTTTTCCAGTATCCTCTACAGCCAAGAGGGGGGATGGAGTGGGTATGCCAACCAAATAAACTAGACACACACACACTCGCTTAGATTAAGGAGAATTATTTGTCAGAGTGCCAACACAAAGGGATTATAGACACACAAATATGTTTTTTTTTAGACAGTTTGTCATCACAGCACAGGAAGCTAAGAGAAAACTTTGAGCAAAGAAAACAGCTTTAGGCTTCTCAAAACATTTTCATCTTAATTTCTTATGCTACAAATATTTCAGTAAAATCATTTCAGCTTCATCTTATTTGTGAGGTTTTTTTCCCTACAAACTGAGGAAGAATTTCCAGTGCAAAACATTAACACTCACTATCATTTCCATTCAAATGCA